TATTTAGAGAAATAAACTGTTTTTAGTTGTAATGGCTAATGATGACTAAGGAAATTTTGTTTTGTCAAAAGTCGTATTTCTCTCATGCAATAAATTATTGGGAAGTACTTGTAAAATTTAACAATACGTCTCTCTGATGCATAAAACTTTGCAACTTTAGACGTAAAAACCAAAATTTGTAACCAAATGAAGGGACTGATAAATCCTATTAACTTTAAAAAGTTCAAAATAATACAACTAAAATCACAGAAGTAAAATCACAAAAGTAAGTAACTATTTTGGAAACAAATTTAAATAAATAAAAATCCCATACCTGTAGAGTTTGGATTTTTAATTTGTTTTCAATTTCTATATGTTTCTTTGCCTAAAGTTGTAGATTTGGGTTTATATGCCAATTTTATATACCAAAGTTTTCTACTTCTACATAAAGCATCGCAAAAAGTAAAACAGATGTCAAGATGATGGAATTGTGTGACCAAAGCCTCGATAATCTTTTCAAGCATGCAAGTGTTCTTAAGATTTAGCATATGAAACTATAGAACCATAAGACGTCACTTTGAGAAAATTTGGGCTGATAGCTTTTAAATTCGCTTCAGTTAAGGAATATTAAAGTTAGCGATTCATGGCTAAGATCTTCTTTTTATTTTCTACAAAGATTTCATAAGAATCTTCACAATCCATTATATAAAAGTTGGGTTGTGTCTCACAATTTTGACACATCAGCATCTATTATTTTGACACATCAGATTTACAAAATAATTTATAATTTATTTTATTGATTTTTAATTTGTTTAATAAATACTAAAATCTTAAACCATTAAATACCGTACAAAAAACTGAATAATAAACTTCTCATCTTTTTTTTTTGGTTAAATTTTTTTCTGCTTTAATTTTAGTGAGAGATAATAAACCATTACTTCTTCTTATTCTATTGATTATTGATAAAAATGGTCGAAAAAAAAATCAAGTGTAATTTGAGAAAACAAAAAAAGATCAACTGCATAATCTCCGGAAAGCTTAATGAATTTTAGGAAGTCAACAACATAAAGTTATGGAACTAAAGGCGAATGATCATCTCTTTTTTTATAGCCTGCATTTGGATTACAAATCTTTTTAGTTTATATGTTGCCTTTAGATTATAAATCTTGACAAATCCTTGTTCTGTTGTAATCAAACTTATTTGTATGCTCAAAAGTCCAAATAATATCCCTTTAAAAGGAGTCAAGAAGGTGAATACAACATATTTAGAGAAAAAACTATTTTTAGTTGTAATGGCTAATGATGACTGAGGAAATTTTGTTTTGTAAAAAGTCGTATTTCTCTCATGCAATAAATTATTGGGAAGTACTTGTAAAATTTAACAATACGTCTCTCTGATGCATAAAACTTTGCAACTTTAGACGTAAAAACCAAATTTGTAACCAAATGAAGGGATTGATAAATCCTATTAACTTTAAAAAGTTCAAAATAATATAACTAAAATCACAGAAGTAAAATCACAGAATAAGTAACTATTTTGGAAACAAATTTAAATAAATAAAAATCCCATACCTGTAGAGTTTGGATTTTTAATTTGTTTTCAATTTCTATATGTTTCTTTGCCTAAAGTTGTAGATTTGGGTTTATATGCCCATTTTATATACCAAAGTTTTCTACTTCTACATAAAGCATCCCAAAAAGTAAAACAGATGTCAAGATGATGGAATTGTGTGACCAAAGCCTCGATAATCTTTTCAAGCATGCAAGTGTTCTTAAGATTTAGCATATGAAACTATAGAACCATAAGACGTCACTTTGAGAAAATTTGGGCTGATAGCTTTTAAATTTGCTTCAGTTAAGGAATATTAAAGTTAGCGATTCAATTCAAGTGAAAGATTTAGCATAGAAGACTATCTCCAATGTGAGATGTATAATGATTTTATACTAAAAACTTGGTGAAGAAAAGTGGGTATAGGTTTAATACAATTTGGGATATGATAGTTAGAACTCCATTATATTCATTTTTGATTTCATAAGAGTTTGTGAAAGACTTTGCCAATTAAAATAGGAAAATCACTTCGAATAAATTTATTTATTTATTTATAGGATATGCCTCTTAAACTTATAACCATAAGTTGATATTTTATACATAGTATTTGTTGGATTATTAACTCTAGATTTGTTTAGTATAATATATGTTTGATTAGCTTTTTTGAAAACAAAATACAAATAAAGTAATAAAAAGATTATTTTAATATTTTAAAAGAATTAAATAACAACGATTTTTCTTTACATGTATATGACAACTTCAAAAAGAAAATTCTGAATTGAGTTTATTTAAAGTTTTAAATAAATCTTAAAAATATATATATTTTTTAAAAACATAGAAAAACCAATGCACGGGTAATCATCTAGTATAGAAAAGAAAGATTTCACAACAAGCTTAGCCTCTCTCTATTCATTATATAAAACGATCATTCTATTGAACTACCATGATAAGTTTTTCCTTTTAGTTTTGTATTTGTATTGCTTTCTCTTTACCAATGAATCTTGTGGATTTCATGAATACTAATGTGGGATTTTTATATGTTTCAGATGTTGTTTAAAGAACGATCCATGGATTGAAATGAAAACTTCTTGGTAAAACTCTTCACGAATCTTCCACCGTCTTCTTATTCCACATGTACTATCTCACATATCTCTCCATATATCTATATGTGTATTTTTATGTTTGATTGTTTTAACTTTTTACCCTCGGTTGGTAAACTAAATTGTTTTAGGAGCTTTGTGTTCTTCAATAGATCCCATGTATTTCGGGATCATCACTGTTGTCACCTCAATTCTGTTTATCGCGAGTAAAGATGGTACTTATTCTCTTTATATATCTCTTAATCTCTTCTTTCGCCTGATCGATGTCATGATCTCTAAAATAGCTGCTGCACCAAGAAGTCTATATATCATTAAGATGAGCAAAAGAAGATACATGCTTTGATTGTTTAATTGTTGTCTTCTCTTTTATTTAGCTTATTCATGTTATCAGCATGTTTGTTTTAAATTCCTTTTTTTTTTTGTAAATTAGGAAATGGCGAGAAAGCATGAGAAACTTAATAAAACAAACATGCCGATAACATGACTAAGTTCATGTTTTGATCAATTTTTTGCGACTCTGAAAATTTCTTGCGACCTCTCTATATTTATGTGTGTATTCTTATGTTTGATGGTTGGAACCTTTGATGTTTAGATTTCTCAAAAACGCAGAAGAATGATCTCACTCTCATCGGAAAGGACATTCTGGAGCAATCAAATGCCAACAAGGTGAAATAAATAGATTTCGTCAAATTCAGGTTACTCTTTAACCTCCTTACATATTTCCATTGGGATATATTAACTTTGATAACGAACTGCTTTTATTCAAGATTCGTCCTATTTTTATCAAAAAAAAAGATTCGTCCTATTGCTTTATATATTAGCAGTTCCTATAAAGTTCTCAGTTTCCAAAAACCGAGTCTTTTTTGTCGCTGCCAATTGTTTGAAGCCATAAAAACGTGTATTATGTTACTGTCACGGTATCCTCTATATGGCGTAGAATGGAGTACATAATTATTAGATCTAGATTCGTCCTTCTTTTGTTTTTATTCAATTTTCTCATTTTTTCTTTAACTTAGTCTCTGTTTTTTGTTCAGGTCTCTGAGATGTGAAATGTTCGTCCGTGAAGCTTTTTTACTATGGGTGAGTATCCTTTTGCTTGATGGGTCTGGTAAAATATTGTTACTTTTACCAAAAAAAAAAAAACTGAAACTGAAATATGTGTGTTTAGTTTAATTTGTATATGTATTTTGTTTTGATTATCAGAAAAATTAATAATCTTTTTTGGAATTATGTTATAGAAAAGAAGTTGTGTATAACAACAATTTGAAATAGAGAATGGTTCCAAGCTAATTGACCTCTTTAATTAAGGTTTGGTGGTGTAGATTCAAATTTGTTATTACTGTTTCTAATTATTACCCTTACTCCATTGTAACAGGTAGGTCATATTTTCATCAGTTTGTATATTTTAAATGACCTTATGTATAGAGACTTGTTGATATGTGAATATCGACAAGGGACAAAACAGTAATTTAGATCGGAAGCTCGGCTTTATTAGATTGAATCGAGTGAAATACAACTGAGTTCGGTTATTCCAATAGGCAATAACGAACTAAGACTTAATGTGACTAAGAAGCTATCGAGTTCTCAGTCTTTAAGTCTTCTTGGGAATAACTTGTGTCCTCTCATGTCGATTCGTCTCCCTTTATATATATCTCATAAGTCGGTCTTCAAGCACGCTTTAGACGATATGGGATCGAGAGGAGTTTCCTTTTCTCTCCAAAGTTTCCTTTTTCCTTCAGGAAACTTTCCTGTTTCGGCCGAGCTCGAGGAAACCTTCTGTTCCTTTGAGAGGTTTCCCACCGACCTCGGTCTAATGGGCTATCTTCGGCTCATCTTCGCTCGGCCCATCTTCTCTCGGTACATCCCTTCGTAAACCGGGCTTACGGTTCGCCGATCTCAGTTTGTACCGGAGAAAACCGGGGTGCGGTTTTCACCTCCAACAGTTAGCCCCCCCCTCAGTTCGGTGAAAGGAGATGACTTTCAGTTGAACTCAATTTTTCGGTTATTGGATCACAAACTGAGCTCGGTAACTGTCGTCGTTTCGCATTTTCGGACGTTTCGCGCCTATCTTCAATGAGGCGCGTGAATTACGAGATTTTTCGCGAAAATCGAGGAACCCACGATTCCCACTGTGTATAAAGGGTGACTCTTCTTCTCGCATTCATTATTCTCGCCTCAAGCATATATAAGGTACGCCGCTCTCCCTTCTCTCTAGATTTTATTTCTCTCTCTAGTTTTTGTTCTTCGTTTTCTCTCGTTTCTTCAACTCCCGCCGCCGCGAACTCTTGATCTTTCCGATCAACCTTCAAACTTTCCGGTTGATCTTCAAACTGTTCTTTATTTCCTTCAAATCTTCTTTCCCGAACCCTAAGATGTCTTCCAGCTCTTCGATTAATTCTTCCTCAAATAAAATTCTTCCGGAAGACCACCGTGAGTCCTCGGAGCCGAGCTCCTCTTCTTCAAATCCTCAGCAATCAAGTTCATCACGGGAAGAAGGCAATCTTCCCCAATTAGTTCGTAAGAACTCTAGATTTGAAGAAGCTAGCAGCAGCCGTGCTAGAGTTAGAATTGAAGCTACCGAAGATCTGACTGCAGAGGCTCGCGAAACGGAAGCTCGGGCTGGACCGAATGTTGATGCTAACGCCCCCGAGATCGAGGAGATCGAGGAAGAATTTCAGGGGGAGAACGTCGCTGATACTGAAGTCGACAACATTGAGGCGGTTATTCATGCTTCGCCACCACTTCCGAGGCGGAAAGTAGTTCGTCCCATCAACGTGCCCTCTTGTTCCCTTTCTCCTGGTGTCGTTCGAGCCGTGCTCGAGGCAAACGGGCTTGCGGACAAGATTATTTTCATCATTCCGGAGGCTAGAGATCGGCCGTGGGATGCTCCCGAAGGCTTCCTTTGCGTTTATCTGACGTACTTCACTCAGTGCGGGCTTTCTTTCCCCATTCCCTCTCGCCTACTGGGATACTGCAATCGGCGCGGCGTAGCTCTTACACAGGTGATGCCAGCCTCAATAACGAACTACGTTGGGTTCGTTTCCTTATGCGACGAGCTCGGTGAAGTACCATCGAGTCGAATTTTCGAAGATCTCTTTTCGGTCAATATCCATAAGTCCAAGGAGTGGTTCTTCGCCGCCAATGCCAAGCCGAAGAAGAATTTAGTTATGGGACCTAAGCCCAGTAAATTCAACGATTGGGAGTCCCAGTACTTCTATATCGAAATGAACGATCTCACCGTCAGCAATTCTGACATCGCAATTCAGTCGAATTGGAAGATTCCGATTGGTAGATTAGATGATTTCACACTTAAATAACTTTCGACTTTTACTGCTTGCTAACTCTACTTCGTCTTAATTTCGTAGGTCGTCATCTTCCGAGTCTCCTTCTCAATTCCGGACTCACCTCTGAGTTCGAAGAAGCATTCAGCGAAGCCGGTAAACGTCGTTGGCCGGAGGTTTGGGAAGAAATCCTACAACGTCGACCTAAGAAAGCGGGTATGTTCATCGAATTCTCTTTACTCACTTTATCCCGAATTTACTCCGAACTCCTCCTTAAACTCATTTTCATTTCAGGCTCCGTTCGAGAACCGAAACCACGCAAGCCGAGAACTCGAGCTAGCAAGCCTCGAACCACTCCCAGACGCCAATCACTGAAGTCGCGAACTCAACGCTCCCGAGCTGCCAGGATGCTTTCCATTGACGAAATCCCAACTCTCTTTGATGAAGAAGAAACGGGGGTGGCCGAGCCGACCCCAGTCCTTGCTGCTGAACAGAACGAAGTGCAGCCAGAAGAGTTGCCACCTGCTGCGGGCTCACATGATCAGGCTGATCAGAGGAAGACAAAGAAGAAAAAGTCTTCGAAGAAGAGTAAGAAAGCAGAGGACTCTTCTCGGGTGCAAGATACTCCCGTCGAGCTCGATCCACCGGCAGCTGTGGCGTCGGGCCTCGCGCTCTCGCAAGATCGAGCTGAAGCTTCACACTCCCGAAAAAGGCAAACCAGAGATCATGTCGAGGGCTCTCAAGAGCACGGGCCGGCTAAAAGAGTCCGAGTTTGTTTTGACTACGACGAGGAGACTCCTTTTGAGGAGAACGTAGATGCCTGCGCCGAGCTCTATCATAAGATCTCCTCGGAGCTACCTAGCATTCCCTCGGTCCCCGAGCTCCGGTTTCCCAACATGTACAAGGGAATCGCTCACTCGACCGCTGTGGTAATTTTACTTACCACTTATAGACTTAGATATTCTTCCAAGTATGAGTTCTAATTCCTGTTTCCTCTGTGCAGCTCGCCAGTCAGACCAATAACTTGGTCGCTGCATATGAAGTAGCCCTGTTCGACGAGCAAGTAAGGGTTTCCAAGCTCGAGGAAAGGATAGCCAAAGCAGAGGAGCGTCTCGCCACTGAGCTCCAAATCAACGAAACTCTGCACTCTCAAGTTGACTTGCTGAAAAAGGAGAGTGCAGAGCTGAAGGCGGTGAAAGACGAGCTCACCGAGGCCCAGAATTTACTCTCCAAAGAGTTTGAGAAGGACAAAGGGCGACTACAAGGTATGGTGGTGCACTGGAAGAATCGAGCTAGGAGCGTTCACGCAACGGCTTGCGAACGCCTTGAGAAGGTCATTCGGAGTTTGGACGATGCTGACAGGGCTCGGAAGCCGTACTTGGTCTACAACCAGCTCACCGGGGTCCTCGGTTTCATCAAGCAGTTGCGGAGGAAGGGTCTGTACGAGGTCCCGCCAGAAATGGTTGCGGATATTGAAGCAAGGCATGCCAAGGCGCTGGAGGACTTCAAGGCGATCGATGCTTGCGCGCTCACTGAGGAGGACAAGAAGATGTCACCGTTCGTAGAGGAAGATGACATCCCGGTCGTAAATGTGACTCAGAGCGCACAAGATCCTGCGAGGGGCGAGCAGTTCGGCTCAAACGAGGACATACTCAACGCTGCTGCCTCAAGACCGTCTAATCTCTTCCTATTTTTCTTTTGCTCTTCGAACTTAACTGCCCTTGCATGGGTTTTTTGTAACTCTAATTCCGAGCACTTGGTGGGTTCTGACTCTATTTGCCTCTCGGGGCTTTTTATTTATGCGTTTGTTTTTCCTTCCTGTCCTTGTCTTTAAAAGTTAGAAA